ACTTAGATTATCCCCAACAAATGACATATGGTGATATAAAATTAAATAACCCCTTGGATATTTGTTGTTCATTTAATAATTTTTTTCAGAGAAACTAGTCAACCTAGTTATAATTATAATTCATTTACGCAAGGTGACACCTTAAATTGCAATACAATTCAAAATATTAATGTCAGCAAAGAGTTAGTTCATAAGGTAATTAGTCAGCTTGATATAACAAAGGGAGCTGGTAATGCTAATTTGCCCCCTATATTTTTCGTAAAATGCGTTAAATCATTGTCTGCGCCAATAACACTGCTATTTAATAGGTGCATTCACGATGGGTATTTTCCAAGAGCTTGGAAAGAGGCTCATATTGTTCCCTTACTTATTGACTTAAAACTGTTATAGAGAATTACCGGCCGATGTCGATACTTAATGTTCTGAGCAAAGTGTTGGAGAGAATTGTTCATATTCACATCTATCCTATTATCTCGCCTTCGATACCAACAGAACAGCATGGTTTTATAAAGGGACGTTCCACAGCAACTAAACTGGGTACCTTCATTGACTTCGTCACCACAAACATTGATGGAGGTTCGAAGGTGGATGTGATCTACACTGACTACGAAAAGGCTTTTGATCGTGGGATCATAACATACTATTACGTTAGCTTTACGAACTTGGTATTCGGGGCGATCTACTAAGGTGGATGAAATCATACCTATGGAAACGGTCTCAAGCAGTGGTTTTAGGGGGGTTTCGTTCTAATTTTGTGGAAATATCGTCAGGCGTCCCCCAAGGCTCCATTTTGGGCCCTCTCTTATATGCTTGCTATCTGTACGACGTGGGTAAGTGTTTCCATCATGCTAAATTCCTTATGTACGCTGATGTCACGAAAATTTTTATGAAAATCGTAAATTACTCAGACTGCGAAAAGTTACAAGTTGATCTTGAGCGGCTCAATACTTACTATAAAGAGAACCGTATTGATGTTAATGTTAATAAGTGTCACTGTGTGTCTTTTACTAGGAAAAAGCAACCTTTAAACTTTGACTACCAAGTAAACTTTTTTAATCTTCGTAAAGAAACTATTGTTAAAGATCTTGGTGTCCTAATGGACAATAAATTAGCATTTACCTACCACATAGATGCCATAGTAAATTCAGCCTACAAAAACCTAGGTTTTATTTTATGTGTTAGTAGACCTTTTTCTAGTATTAATTTCATAAAATTACTCTACGTTTCTTACGTACGAAGCACACTAGAATACTGTAGCACCGCCTGGAACCCACACTACATAACACATAAAAATAATTTGGAGAAGATTCAGCATAAGTTTATAAGGCACCTGAACTACAGAAGTCACAGAGTCTCCAGTGATTATGAAGTGTCATGCAAGTATTATAAACTCGCAAGCCTTGAGAGCCGGCGTACGCTGTTGGACATGGCTTTCTTGCAGGGACTGTGTACGGGAAATATTGACTGCCAATATTTAGCTACAAAAGTTCTCCGATTGTCTACTCCAAAAGTTAGAACCAGACATACACGCTTATTTGCTGTAGCCAAGTCATCGACTCGCTATGCACAAAACTCATTAGTGAATCGCTTGCAGTGTCTTCAATAAAAAATTTTACAACCTAGATATATTCAACACAAATAAAGATAAATTCAAAAGTGGGGTATTAAAAGTATTGGAGGAGGAAATGGCATCTTAACCACACTCACACACACACACACACACACACACACACACACACACACACACACACACACACACACACACACACACACACACACTGACGCGCGCGCGCGCGCGCGCACACATGCACACGCACACGCACACAAACGCACAAGCACGCACGTAAAAAAAAAAATAATCCATAATAATGCCTAAGTATCAAAAGTTTTCATGTTTTCTACTGTCGTAATTTAAATAATTTAGCAGAATAATGTAAATCCAAATTGGCTTTAAGGTTTAGTAATAAGATTTAGATATATTTTAAAAAAAGTGCTGTGGATTTTGTTACAACAATAAAAAAAAAAATATAATTCATCCACACATTATTTCGTTACCCACAGATAATTGTTCCGAATCTCGGTGTTTATACCCAAATAGGGTTTACACCAGGCAGGCGGCTGCTCGTAAAAAACCTAGCCAATCCCATTATCTATTCACATGATGATTCCTAAACAGTCGTAGGGCGACGCAACAGTCTCCAATGTTGCACGAATAGGCAGTTCCGTCGGGGGAAGTAACGCGACCATACAGAAGACCGGCGTGAAATGGAAGTGTTGTGTTTCATCCGGTGAGTGAGGTAACCGGGGCCCACTTTTTATTAAAAGACCGCTACGCACCTGCAACCCTACTGTTGTTGCAAAGGTCCATGGGCGGCGCATACCAATAAACATCAGATGAACCGCGAGCTCGCCTGCCACCTTTTCAAATAAAAAAGAAGTCTTATTTTAATATGATATTTCCCAATCTTCACATAACTTCTTCTCACATAAAAAAGTAACAGTCACATGTAGGCAAGAGAAATGAGAATATGAATGTATACAGCAGAGCGTGAGAAGCGAAATCATCATCAAAATTTGATGACTCCGTGGCGCAGTCGCCAAGGTATCGGCTTCGGCGTCGCGTGTCGTGGGTTCGATTCCCACACGGGATAACTATTTGTGTGACCCACAGATAGTTGTTTCGCATCTGGGTGTTTGTCCGCGTGAAATTTATGTTTGTAAAATGTCCCTACAACACAGGATAATTTTATCCTAAAGTAAGGGCAAAGTTTAAAAAAAAATCATTAACCCGTAAATTACTTCGTTTATCTATAAGAAGCAATGGATGTCTTTCGCCTTATCGGTCGCTCCAGTTGCGAATGCACGATTTTGTATGCGCATTCAGATAAAACTCCCAACGCGTGATGTACGCTACAACACTCGTCTCACGTGGCATGCGTCACTTGTTAGCGGGCTTATCTCGACCGAAATCAGTTATCCCTAAAACGGTATTCATGTCCGAACTGAACGGCCGGCTGACGATGCTGTGCCGCTAAGGTGAAACTAACTCAAACTCTAATTTATTACAATTTAAATGTTACATTTGCGAAATTAACGCCCGGTTTCTGAAACACTGATCATTGTCGAAATTAACTAACCACTTGTCAAAGGTCTTTCGAGTTGCCAAAGGGATTGGTTAAACTCTCTGAATTGATCAGAATATTCTTCTTAATGATCAGAATGGTCAATTCAAACAGTTTAACCATTCTTTTGGCAACTCAAATGACATTTGACAAGTGGTTAGTTAATTTCTACGACGATCAGTGTGAAAACAGGCGTAAGTCTCGAAGACTTTATTTTAATTAGACCACCACCAGGAACAGGCAAACGATTTTAATGCTATTTAAACAGTAATAGCTTATTTATCTGAGTAAGTTTGATATTTTAATTACATTTATGATAGGTTAAAAAAGTTATTTTTGGCTTTATCAATAAAAAAGTATTTAAACTAACCATTCAACGTTCAAACGATTTCAACTAGATTCTCTAATGATTACTAGGACAGCATGGAAACGCATGTTTATCTTAAAATATTGGTCGGTCCAACACATAATAAATTTGATAGTTAAATCAGTTAGATGACGCAAAGCCATGTCACGTCAATTCAATGTATCTATGTATAGTACTGATCATAAGTGTATAACGCCGAGTCATTAGAAAGCAAATATGCCACGAGAAATTCACCATTTACAGGTCGTAGCCGATATCGATTAACCCACATGTCGCCAATCGCCTTTCGCACTCGACTGTCCACCGGCCGTTGTACTTGTGTTGCCGTTGACTGTCCAATGTACCGTTAGGTACATTCGCGAAATGCACTCGCGTAAAGCAAATTAAACACGTGTGAAAGCACTCTTAGCTATCACCGAATGTACCGTCGCGCGCAAAAATCGAGTTATTACCTTATAGAACTAAGCATCTAACTAAATGTTCGCAAAAAGACATAACAGCATGATTCATAACCATAAACGTAGTGGGAGGAGGATAGAAAGAGATGAATGCGGCACGAACAAGGTGATAATACTATCCTTTAATAGCTATAAACTGTGGACTGCCTCCTGAGCCGCTGCCGATTTTTTATTTTTGCATTTGGTTTTTCTATTTTCAAACTTATATCGAACTTAGATCCCAACAAAATATTAAATAGTACTACCGTAAAGGCGTCCGCAAATCGTAAAATTAAAGTTTACAAACATCCAATTGTATGTTACATAACGCGGCGGCCTACAAACGCGTGCGTCGGACCATGTCGGCACAGATAATTAATGTATTCCATTAATTAACATTTATTTTCTTTTTTAAGACGGGATTATGTCTACTGTCAGTCTGTAACAGCCTTTAAATTGGTGACAGAGTCGGGTTGAACGTGCGTGACCAATATTAATAGCGTTGCCAGACTCCGCAGGAATTATAGGAGCGCGGTATTTAAGTCTTCTTTCTCAAAATAAGATCTTTTCTTTAGAAATGTACATACAAATATAAAGTTTATTGTGTTCGAATGAAATAAAAAAACATACTATGTTCCTCTTGGCATAACTTCGCCTAGTGTTTCAATGTTTCAAGTGCATTGTTAATGTTTTTGTGTTATTATTTATTTTAAACTTTATGCCCAAAATAATCATGTACAAAGGCGGACTTAATTCCGGACGTATGTCATTCGGTCCACTCCTTGACTTCAACTACCTAATTACATTGTACGTGTATTCCATAAGTATTAAATAAAAAAAAATATACATGCAATGTAATGTTAAAGAAGTACGCGTTACAAACTCCTTGCTGTGCGGAGTCGCGATTAAAAAAAAACCCGATTGCCCGTATAAAGAAGCGGTACTCGACGAGCCATACCGGCCAGTTGTGTCAGACGTTACCGAATGAGGGCGTGTCGGGCCTTGGCATTGGAAGAACTCGACGACCGATACGTTGTTTTATTTACAACTGGACCGGTATCCGTTGCCTTGTTAGGCGCGGTACGGCAGCAACGGCATGCGCCACGAACTTACGAACTCCGGGCCAACAGACCGGAGCGCCCTCGACCCGGTCGGAACGGGGTCAGAAGTGCCCACAACGCACCAGGGGTCCCGTCCGGAAATGACCCGAACTACGCATTTGGTACACCCGCGTTCCGGGCCGATTCTCATGTCCCAGACGCCGATTATTGTCATAGTGGACTGTTAATGAGGTCATATATTACACATCCCGACTTCAAAGACCCGTATTAGACCCCATCACTACAGCGTGCCGGCGGTGGCAGATGCGTTCCAGTCTTCGCCGTTGCACGAATGGGCAGTTCCGTCCGTGTTAGTACCACCACCTCACAGAAGACCAGCGTGAATTCGAAGTGTTACACTTCGGCGTTTCGTCTGTTGTGTGAAGCAGCCGGGGCCCACTTTATTAAAAGGTGGCAACGCATCTGCCACCCTACGGGAGTTGTTGTTCATGATGCATAACATGCGGTTATCACTCGACATCAGCTGAACCGCCTGCTCGCTTGCAACCTTCTCAAAGAAAAAGATACACGCACATTAAAGATTGATATATATTTTTGTGAAATTTAATAACCCTACGTTTGTGTTGCAATTGAACTATGACTAATTTTTTTGTGTGTTCGTTATTCGTCTGCTTATGAGGGAGAAGGATACATTTGTAATTTTGTTACCAGGAAGCGTCAAGTAAAAGCATTAATATATTTTTCATTTTGCTCGGCGTGTGGAGGAGCACACTGACGACACGCCTGCACCATCTGGTGCTGTGAGTGGCTATGGGCGGTGGTCTTGACTCTTAATATCAACCGAATCACTGGAATTACGCTCGTTACAAATAAATATAAAAAAACGCGCTTTTGTGTGTATTATGTACGCACGAAAGAAGTTAAATTTATTTAAATTTCTTTCGTTGCCATGGTAACACCATGAAGTTGGCGTCGCCTTTAGCTGTCGCGTGAACGTACACTCCCATCTTTTTTCCCAAACGCGCCAAACGAAGTACTAACTATAAAAATACTTCCAGAAACGTCTAAAGCCGCGATTGGAAAGTGCGTAATGTTCCATGCCAACCCATAATCTGATTAATCTTAGAAAGTGAATGGGGGATGTTTGAAAAAAAAACTCTAACCGTTCCGCTCCAAATGATACTGTTAACGCTTTCGAATAACTTTATTGTTACATGATTTTTACGCGTAAAAGATACAAAACACAACGTTACTCCTCATAGTAATCTCTATTTATCTGAAAAATGTCTGTCTTGTGAACAGCATATTTTTCCAATGTAATAATATCAACCGTGGCTGGGCTAGAACATTGTTTACAATATGGCATAACAACAAAGAAGTGGGTAGTAAAGAATTGAGGGCGATATATTTTCGGTGTAATCCCACGGAAGAAGCAGTGGTGTTCTCGAGTATGCAATTTTGTTTTTTCGGACACGGAAAGTAACTTAAGGCCATACCTCATATGATCTAGATTTGTAACATGGGATCTTTGAGACTAAGTCACACAAGCAAAATTATAAAATATGTTTAGTATTTTTCAAATTTTATAAATTAAGCGTTTCGCGTGTTTATCTGTTTCATAGTGTTGAATACCTGCAAGGTTTATTATTCAAATCGACATGGACATGTGGTAAATATTTACAAACAGGAACGCGTCAAAAACTAAGTACCTGCCCTCCATGGATTGATTTGTAGTCTATTTTCGTCTCGGTGTTGAGGTTTATTCCCACGGCGGCGGGGTCTGGTCGGAACCTGTTCGCGGCCTGTCATGTAAGGGCGGGTCTATTTATAAACGACCCAATGCTACCTCGTAATCCGTGCTTTAGCTGTACCTTCCTCTGGCACCGAGGTTCAAATAATAAAAACGCCAGTTCCCCAGCAAACAAACAAATTTGTTGTCTTTATTTACGACGCAACGATTCGTCTGTTGGCACCTTATATAGTTAGTTTCTTCCGCTCTTATTTTTTTTTTCAAACATTGCCCTTACTTTAGGATAACATTATCCTGTGTTGTAAGGACGTTTTACAGACATAAATTTCACATCGACAAACACCCAGGTGCGATTGGGCACACAAATAGTTTTCCCGCATGGGAATCGAACCCACGACCTTCGACGCCAACTGCAATACCTTGGCAACTGCGCCACCGTCATCAAATTTCTTGTTTGAATAAAATTAAAACTATGATAATATTTCAACACATGGAGAGAGTTCGACCGCGATGACTGACGAAGGTACTTAGAATTGACCCTTCTCGATTGTTGAGTCGCTTTAAAAATTGTTCTGTCCGTAAAGTCCTTTGTGTGTCACTTAAGCACCGCACGAGACAGAAAGAGAGGCAAGATTTACAAAGCGAAAAGGATTATTCCCAATTAAAAAATCCCTCTTCTATGTGAACCAGTTCTGTCAACTCACCAGCTATGTCTGTAGATGTGTAATATACTGGTCGCAAGTTGATTTGCCTCCGTAATTCCGTCCAGCAAGGCTAACTTGTTTCTCAGTTCGACCACCTGAGTTTTATTAGGAGCTTTTGGGTATAGTTCTCACGGTCCTTTAAAGTAAAATCGACCTTCAAATGTATCAGAACTTTGGGATGGGTCCAATCCTTTAATATTCTAGTATGAGAAAAAAGTAATGTTGTTTGCATATCGTTGCAATAAAATTAGCATAATAAGTCAGAGTGACGTCAATGGAAAGTAAAGAAAAAGGACTTATAATGAAAGACAATTTAAAAAGTCCTCTTGTCTTACCTGTAGGTACCATTGTTTTATTTATTTTTATTACAAGAATTTTTTATATACTTTCCATTGCGTAGATATCGTACCAAAAACGTAGCGTCACTATATATAATCTAACTCTAGCTAATATTACGTAGTACATAGATAATTGATGACTCCATGGCGCAGACGCCAAGGAGTCATCAATATCGGCTTCGGCGTCGGGGGTGGTAGGTTCGATTCCCACACGGGACAACTATTTATGTGACCCACAGATAGTTGTTCCGCATCTGCGTGTTTGTCCGCGTGAAATTTATGTTTGTATAAACATCCTTACAACACAGGATAATGTTATCCCAAAGTAAGGGCAATGTTTTTTTTTTTCCTTAAAAAAAAGAATAAGAAAGTTGTTTTTTTTGTCGACGAATCGATGTAATTTCTCAAAAAGAGATTTTTTGTAGGCCTAAACACAGACCCTAGTAATCCAAGATAAAGGTTAATGATGCCTGTTGAATTTTAATTAGATCTGGAGTAGAGTTTTAAACTAGTGACCGAAGTCGCGTGGAGCGCCTCGTAGTTAATACCGAAGTACAATATTTCGATTATAAATACGAAATACGGAACGCATTCCTTCCGCGGAAGATTAACTGCGATAATTTCTTTATCAGCGCCGCTTCCACCGATGAAACACGTACTTGCGTTCGTAATGTGCGTTTCCATTGTCTCCGCGCCGCCTTTGGACGATAACGTGGGACAATGAGGTGACCGAGAGCAATCAATCGCCTCTAGGCTTAGCGGTTCTCACGCAGTTTTTAAGTCACTAAACATACAATCACTAGTGCTTTAAAAATAATGTGGCGTCATCCTCATTATCTAAGCTTAAATATCGTTATCGATTCGCGTCGTCTCTGCCATGAATTTCGGAGAATCAAATGAATTTATTGAATTATATAAATGTAATGTAAAGACAGTTAAACTGTCAATTAACTAAAGGACAGAGTGAAGGAACAGGTGTGTTACCATAAAAAAATTCGGACGTCTTAGTAAGAACCATAAGAATCATCCGTTTAGTAAGAAGGTTTGATTGCGTTCAATAAAGACCAATGGTGTCGTAAACGGCCTATCATTACGTTATACACAGTGTTTTAAAATTAATAATGTAAATCGAATCTCGAGGCCATACCTGGCCTATGTTTTAGAGTACTTTCTCATAAAGAATTTACTAGCAATTTGTATGGGCAATTGAGTGAATACAAAGAGCTCTCGTATTATGCACACAGTTATGGGACTGCGCGCTTCATGTACCTGGGTTATGAATCGCTTATCTACTTCAATTTCCTCGGGTGATATATCGATCTATTGCAAAATTTTATACGCGCGTATCTCTACCATAAAAGTATGCACTATAATATTTTTTCTAATTTCCTCCAACGTTGAAACGGTCGCTTTCCGAAAGGTAAAGTACAGGCCAAAATCCTCACCAAAATGCGGTATATCTCAGGAGATTTTCACAACTGTTTGATGCAACCAATCGTGTTGGCCTGCGCGGTCAATAATCCCTGTTGCTCTCCTCCTATACCCTATAGAGCTAAAACCTAATCTTGTGCAATCGCAATACTACCGCCATATCTCGGACACCGGTCCCGCCAATTTTAATTTTAAATGAGTGTCACGAGAAAACCTATGAGAATAATGAGAAAGCGTATGCATTCGAAATAGTAACAAAAAGAAATATGTGAAGTCCGCCAATCTGCAGTGGGGTCGCGCGGTAGATATGCTCCAATACCCTATGTGCGGAGGCGGCCTTCGCCCAACTGTGGGACCAATGTAAGCTGTTGCTTTACTTTTATAAATCAATCCGTGACACAATCACGTGGCGATCTTCATTGAACAAACACGTCGCCCCGACCCCTGAGGTCGGGGGGGCAATTAGCCCGTGACTCACGGCCCGCCCGGAGCGACAGCCGAGCCGTGATCCTGTCCTGCGCGTAATAACTGAATGCGCGTTGGGAAACCGTATTATTATTATGTGAGAAAGTGGCAAACGAGCTGGCGGTTCACATGGACATTTGCAAACACCCGTAGGGTTGCAAATGCGTCGTCACCTTTAAATAAAGTGGGCCCCGGTTACCTCACTCACCGCACGAAACGCAGAAGTGTAACACTTCTACTTTACGCCGGTCTTCTGTGAGGTCGTGGTACTTGGATGGGCCTGCCCATTCGTGCAACAGAGAACACTGTTGCGTGATCCTACCACAGTTAAAACTGTTTTCCTTTTGATTTAAAATGTTGTCAAGCCTATAGACGGTTTACCTGATGGTGTGTGAATATCGCCGCGGATGGACATCAACAACGCCTGAGAGATTGACAGTCGACAACAACAACAACACAAAGTTTGTGTTGTTGATGTTGAGAGACTAAAGAATGGGCGACGGTTACCTCACTCACTATACAAAAT